TAGACTTTTACCAACAGCTGCCTGCTTTCGCTGGCTGGCTGTTTAGCTCCATACTCAAGATAAAAAGTCCTGCCAGTCAGAAGGAATTGGCAACAAGAAACTCCAGTTGAGAACAAACCAGCCAACAGGAGAGAGCCAACTGCTCAGCAAATATGTATGAGGAAACGGAGATGAACGGGTTGGGCATACGTCAACGAGGAGGCTGTCGAATAACATTGCACTCAGCGGACGCCATCGTTCGAGTGGAAACCAAGAGGGAAGCTACTGGTGGGTCTTCAGTGAGAGGTTGACATGGAGGAGATCATGTGTTGTGGAGGAGGAGATGAGAGATTATGGACAATTGTGGGTCCAGCTGAAACGGACAGCGTCAAGTAGAACAAAGTGTTTTTTTTGATTGCACACTAGTCAGTAACTAGTGTAATGCGTCTAGTCCTATCTTCGGTGCAGACTGAATTCTATCAGTCATGTTTGCAATGTGGCCACCATGCTCAGTGGTAACGTCTCTGACTGCAGCACTGGGTGACGCGGGTTCGAATATCAGAAAGGACATCAGTTCCTTCAAGGTTGCAGATACGCCTTGCTGATGAGTGCCAACTAGCACGAAACCTAGGTCCAAGGCTTCCTGCCGATTGCCTCCAACCATCTAATACCAACAGAACAAAGTGTAGAATTGTTGTTGAAGTCATATATTCTACTCGAAACCCAAGGGAATAGTAATAATAATTAATTTACGAGAAAAATAATTGATCGATTGGTTGATAACGAAACAAGCATTTAACAATGGAGCAATCAGAATAATAGAATAATTAAGGAAATAATAACCCGAAGAAGCAATAGAGGGGAGAGCAAGTTATCAGTTTTTCATTAAGATCTAAATGGAAAGTAAGTAATGACTCACTGGATGACTTTGTCTCTTAGCGACAGTTATCTGTATGAGATTCTGATAGATGTACAATGTATGGAGATTCCTACGTGAGGTATTAATGTAGTGACGTATGACTGTTTTATTACTTGAATTATACACTTCACGTTCTTACTCTTATGAGGAAAATTAGCTCGTTGTGAAATCGACTCAGTAAACCAATTAATGAGTCATATTGTATAGCTAATCAAAACTGCCTCCAGACACGACCAGTTACAAAACTACCCAAAGACACCAAAAATACGATTATTTGGGGTTAAATCTATGTGGTGCTAACCAACAATAATAACATCAAGGACGCAAAATTACCTAAACGGTACCATCAGTCAGCTATTCAGTAAAGAGAAGGTTCAAAGTACAAAACGAGTAGGGTAGAACAGAATTATTTACACAAAACTCAACCGTAGGTAACACCTCAGAATCACATGAAATATTCCCAATAAGTTGCGTTCAAAACTCCCTCCACAAGAATAGAATACATCAAAAATTACCCCACCACCAACTCACAGATACTTCAACTTCAGAATGATCTTGATTCACTCAAACAAAATCACATCGTAAAACAACACACCATCGATGTATTACACAACGAAAAAGAGAAGCATTGAGAATAAAGATTCAATAAGAATAAATGCGAATATTATGGATGAGGTCAGTATATCATATATGAGTGTCAGAACAATGATTTACAGTCTGGGAGAAAAATAATAAATAAGTACAGAGTTAGTTGGAAGGCCTAAAGAAGCATCAATATATCCTAGGCGGATCATTCAGGAGAGATTTTCCAAACAATTATTCCGTTACAAATGAGAGAAAACTAAGTTCTTAGGGAATCTAATAAGACATACCGATGATTTATTTTGACTTGACCTTAAGGTTAGGGGCTGTGTTGGGGAAAAATGTTGAAAAATGTACTTTTTCGAATACACACCTTTAAAATATCTCTTATTAACTCTGGTTGTTTTATGGAAATTTCACATTAGAACTTATAGAAAAAAGCTAAATTCAGTGAATAGACGTTTTCCTGTGATGTTATTTCATAAAATCAGATGATCTCATCTAGGTGTAGGAGGGTAAACTGTATTCCAACCGATGAGTTATTATTATCATTATTTACCTGATTATTACTCAGCGTACTGGAGATTTTATTTCAATTCACCTCCTTGTTTGGTGTTTTAAATTGAATATAGATCAAAACTGAGTAACAGCCACGTGTACAACTCCATTATTCATGAAATGTCACCTGATATGGTTTTTATTCATGCCCTTAAC